AAGAATTGCTGAAGCCCAGGATTTGGAGGTTGCTGTGAACTGTGATGCCATGGCACTCTACCAAGGGCGATAAAGTAAAAAAAAAAAAAAAAAAATTCTGTAGAGATGGGGTCTTGCTATGTTGCCCAGGCTGTTCTTAGACTCCTGGCCTCCATCTTCCAAAGTACAGGGATTACAGGCATAAGTTTATGTTCCTGGACCTGCACTCTACATTTTGTATCCCCCTCCCTAGGTCTGGCCCTGGGGATGAAACTGGTATCTTCTGCTCCTGACCTGGGGTGGAGACCCCAGGGGTCTCACTCCTCATCCCTTGGCCAGCCCGGAATGAGACAGTCAATGCCAACAGGAAGGTGGAGTCTTTCTTTCTTGCCCTTTTTCCTTCCCCATCCTCAAAGAGATCCCAGAGTCCTGTTCCATTCTAGAGCTCGCTCAGAAACTAGAGCCTCCACTGTTTCCTAGGCACTGGCTCTATCCTGAAGACCTGGGTAATTGGATCTTAGAGTTCCAGCTGTGTCCTCAGTTTCTTTATCTGTGAACCAGTTATCCTGGGTATTAACTGAGACCACTAAGCAGAAAAAGACTGATCTATTTTATCCTTAGTCAGTATTTATCATGCTGGCCTAGAGCCTCTGTTTACCAGATGCCCACAAGTGTCAGGCCCCATTTAGGATGTGCAGGAACATAGTATTCTCTTCCTTCCACTCCACAGGTGATACAGTTCCTGCATCTTCCCCAAGGGGGCCCAGGAAAGGGGTGGCTGAAGCCAGTGGAGCACCTTCATCTGTGTGTATATGAACATCTGGGTCCCTGCCAGGAGGACCATCACCTCTGCTGGGGGCTGTCACATCTTTGCAAGGTGAGGCCTCAAGCCACTGTGTGGTTGAATTTTCTCCACTTCCCAGGCCCTGGAGTGCCCAAGAGGCCCAGGAAAAGAAAAGCTAGGAGACTTCTAGGGACATGTGTCCATTTGGTGTAGAGGTGGGGGCAGACCATGTCCACTTTAGGGAAATTCATATATGTGAAAGCTGGTGGTCTTGGGATCCTAGACTAGAGCTTATAAAGGGACATGTCCTGTCCATCGCTTGCCCTGCTCCTGTGCTCCCCACTCCTTGCTACAGGCCCACTCACAGATCTGAGCTTGGTCACCCAGCAAGATTGAATGCTAATCAAGTATACAGAAATAGTAAGCATCAGAGTTTATTTGTGGATTTTGCAAGAGAGGAGGCCTCTGGAGACCCCTCTTTTGGTTTTGTGAGCCCCAGAAACTGCCCATTAGGGCAGTGTTCTGCCACCAACCAACCAAAATCAGCACAGAAACGGTTGACATACATTGAGGACCTACTGTGAGAAGAAGATCCTTGGAATGGCTTATAGGAAGTCACGGGTCTCACAGAAGCCTTAGGAGGATGGGGCCCTTCCTGTCTCCATTTTACAGACAAGGAAACTGAAGCCTAGTGGCAAGGCCCTCAGCCAAAGTCCCATAGCCAGGAGTCTGGGTCCAGCCCTCGAGGCACACTCCTGACCTTAGGCTGCTCTGAGCTCCGCAAATGTGAGTTTGAAATGTTCATAGTGTGGGGGGTGCAGCAGGGAATCGCAGAGTCTGAGACTTGTATCGTCAGCAGCTTGGGGGTTACAGGATCTGGGTGGGAATCCTGGGACCCCTGGTAGGTCACTGCTCTCTTGGGGCCTCGGTTTCCTCATCTGTAAAATGGATGGAGACACTTAGAGAATCACTGCCTAAGCCTTGGCCTCCCCTCTTGCCTATAACTGAACCTCATTCATTCCGGGATGGCCATACTTTCCAGCCTCCTCTGCAGCATGGTATTGCCATGTAGCTCTATTCTGTTCAGTAGATGTAAACATAAGGGTTCCAAGGCCTCCCAGGGTGACTTTCAGAGGACATCAAGCCAGTCCTGGCCTCTGCCTTTCCCTCCAAATGAGGAGGTGAAGGCCAGAGCACTGGCAACCATTTTACATCATAAGGCAAACTTGAGGACAAAGCCTGGGAAGTACTGAATGGAATTAAAAAAAACCAAACAAGTCCTACTGCTAGTGCAGGTGAGCCTGGACCTATCTCTATGGTATCCTTTCCTGCTGCCTTACACCAGGCCTCTATCACTGATTTCTCAGTTCACACCAGTGTGGAATCCTTCCCTGTACCCCCTGGCCTGTGGCCCAGCATACTACGCATCTCATGGGTAACCCCATCCCAGTGCCCCATGCTGGCTGACAGTGTCCGATGCATCCGGGGTGCGGGCAGCCTGCTTTCCCAGCCTCCCCCAAGGGCTGCAGGTGCTGTGGCAGTGGCCACAGGTCCAAGGGATTCCCCAGGATCTGGGCAGAATGTATAGGGGGTCTGGTGATGACTACCCTGCTGGGGTTGAGCTCTGGGGCTGGCCTTGGAGACTTCAGCAGGGCGAGTGAGGTCGTCTTCAAAGGATGGTGTGGACAACTCATGGAGTCCACGGCGGGTGGCGCGGGTGGCCCGGAGCAGAGTGTGGGTCAGCACAGCCACCAGGACTACTGCGCCTGAACCGAGGATGGAGGCAGCTGCTGCTCCTGTCTCGATTTCGAAAAGCAGCAAGGCATAGATGGACAGCGCTAGGGAAGGAAACAGCTCTCATTTACCCAGTCCACAAATATTTGCTCTCCAAGCCCTCAGGGAGCTCCACCCACCCCAAGGAGTAATCATTGAAAACCCTGCGACCGGACAGGCACATAGTTTAAGCATCTAATCCTCTCACACTCTACCAATACATCATCACGTGCATTTTACAATAAGGAAACTGGGGCCCAGAGAGGTTAGGGGACTCCTCCATAGCTACGCAGCTGGGAAACGCTGGGTGTAGGATTTTAACCCTAGCAGCCTAACTACAGGGTCTGTGCTCTCAATCACAGGACTGCCTCATGACTGCTCAATAAAAAGGAACCCACTTCAGCAGCCGTGGGTGGGGGTTTTCCTGAGGAGGCGGTATTTGAGCTGAAACCTGCGAGGAAGAAGATCCAGCCCTTGGGAAAGCTGAGGAAGGTGATCCCTGCAGGGGGTACAGCAAATGTAAAGGTCCTGAGGTGGAAACACCCAAGAGTATTTGAGGTTCAGCAAAAACAAAACAAAACCAAACCCAACAAAACATTCAGGAACAGAGCAGTAGGGAGGGGGTAGTGTTGGTGACCACAGGGAGGGACAGTCTGCCCGGGGTTGGGGGAGCCAGCCTTCTCTCCATGCCACTGCCACTGTCCACTCTGGATCCTCGCTTGATAGGGTGCACAAGTTTGCTCTGCACCAGGCTTGAGTGACCTTGAGAGAATCACACTTCTCTCTAACTTCAGCTAATCTCAAGAAGGTGGTCGGCAACTCTGATCTTGAGGACCTGAACTAGCCCTTCCTCATCCTAGCATCCAGTTGGCACACACCATTTTTAGTGGAGTGTCCCGCGGACTGTAGGAGATTTAGCAGCTTTTATCCACTAGATGCCAGCAGCATCCCACCCCCTCTGCTGTTTGGACCACCAAAAATGTCTCTAGACACTGCCAGGAGTCTCCTGAGAGCGGATTCAGCACTACTTCAGAACCGCTGGTCGAGTGCCTACCCGCGTTCGGGCCAGCCAGTGATGCGGTGTTAATGATTGGTGGAAGGATATCACATGACCCAAGCTCAGCCTATCAGAGTCAGTCCTGTGACTTTTCAGCTTGAGCTACTGGGATAGAGGAATTTTCTTCCCTCAGTGGTTGGGCTATTAGCGGTCAAGAAGAACTGGCGGGACTTTCTGATACTTTCTGGGCTATCTTATGCTCCCTCTGATTCTGCAGCCTTGCTTTTGAAGATACCAGACTTTATCATGTGTGACATATTAGAGCAAGGCCAAAGATTTTTGTCTTTTGGTCTAAACATTTTGAAAGGGATTTTATAATTATTCTTTTGGCTTTGGCTAGTAATGAATGGTTGATTTGGCTGGACAGGCTTTGGAATTCTTGCTGAATGAGGTCACCTAACCTCAAAAAGAATCTAAATGGGAGGTGAATGAATTCTCAATTTTATGCTTAATGAAGCTGATATAATGATACTTTTTGTTTTTGCCTTTTATAAGTTTTCTTGTATTTTAGAATGAGGTTTTTATTTTTTTTTTCTTTTTGAGGCAGAGTCTCACTCTGTTGCTCAGGCTAAAATGCCATGGTATCAGCCTACTTCACAACAACCTCAGACTCCTGGGCTCAAGAGATCCTCCTGCCTCAGCCTCACAAATAGCTGGGACTACAGGTGCCCTCCGTGACGCCCAGAAAATTTTTCTTTTCGTTTTTAGTAGAGATGGGGTCTCACTCTTGCTCAGGCTGGTCTAGAACTCCTGAGATCAAGTGACACTCCCACTTCTGCCTCCCAGAGCATTTAGATTACAGGTGTAATCCACCACACCTGGCCAAAATAATGATATCTTATTCCAGGAGTGCCCAACTTTTTCCCCCCTCTGCCTTATATTGGAAGAATAAGAGTTGTTTTTGGGCTACATGTTAAATGCACAAACACTAGCAAAAGCTGATTAGTGAAAAAAAAACCCCAAAAAACAAAACAACAACAACAAAAAAAACAGTCTGTGCATACTTTTTGTGATATCCAACACCACAGATAAGCAAAAAAAGTCCCCAGAAAATCAGCACGTGACCCATGGGTCATGGATTGGACCCCTGTCTTATTCTTTCCTCAGGTTGTAGACATCGTGTCAAAAGTGCTTACAGGCTCAGTGTAGTGACTTGCGACTTTAATCTCTGCACTTTGGGTGGGTCACTTGGGTCCAGGAGTTTGATACCAGTTTAGGTAACATAGCCAGGCCCCCATCTCTTAAAAAAAAGTAGTGCTTACAGGGTGGCGCCTGTGGCTTAGTGGGTGGGGCACTGGCCCTATATACCAAGGGTTCAAAGGCTGGTTCAAACCCAGCCCAGGCCAAACTGCAACAACAACAAAAAATAACCGGGCACTGTGGTGGGCACCTGTTGTCCCAGCTACTCAGGAGGCTGAGGCAAGAGAATTGCCTATGCCCAGGAGTTGGAGGTTTCTGTATGATGCCATGGCACTCTACCAAGGGCGATATAGTGAGACTCTTCTACAAAAAAAAAAAAAAAATAGTGCTTACAGATACAAGCATCATTCTCAGAGAAAAGCCCACTCGGGATAACAGATGAAGTGAAGTGAGAGGCATTTCTGCTAACCTCTATGATCACCTGGATGCAGCCACACTTGAGGCCAACTATCACTTATCATTTTGGATTTATGAGCCCCCCCTTCACTCTTCTTTTTAAAATGTCCATATCTGGAGCATTTTATTAAATCACACAACAAATGTTGTGCAGAATTTCCTGTGCTTTAATTATATACAAATTCCCACAATGGACTCTAGGGTCATGTCTCATAAAAAATATTGTACATACATGTATTTGTTTCTTTATTTTGAGACAGGGTCTTACTCTATTGCCCTGGGTAGAGTGCAGTGGCATCATCTTAGCTTCCTGCAACCTCGAACTCTTGGGCTTAAGTGATCCTCCTGCCTTGGCCTCCCAGAGTGCTAGGATTATAGGCATGAGCTCTCAGGCCTCGTCTCAAGTACATTTTTTAAAAACTTCTATTTCTGTACTGTGGCACTAAGAAAAAAATAATAATAGCCAATCTCTTCTTTCTCATTCAGTTGTATATTATTTCTTCTGGTAAAACACCTCGTTTACAGGGCCAGCAGGGAACTATGTATGATTCAGCATTGGGTCTGCAGCATAGTCAACACATTTTAAAAATTATTATTATCATTAACACTTTTTTTTCTTTAGAGACAGGACTTCTCACTTTGTCATCCATGCTAGAGTGCAGTGGTGTAATCGTAGCTCACAACAACCTCAAACTCCTGGGATCAAGAGATCCTCCTGCCTCAGCCTCCAAAGTAGTTGGGACTATGGGTGTGCACCACCATGCCTGGTTAATCTTTAAATTTTTTATAGAGATGGAGTCTCACTATGTTTCCCAGGCTGGTCTTTAACTCCTGGCCTTAAGGGATCCTCTTGCCTCAGTCTCCCAAAGTGCTGGGATTAGAGCTGTGAGCCACCACACACAGTCAACACATTTTTTTTGAAGATTAAAACTAAACATAAGACATCAGGAGTCTCTTTAAAGACACATGATGATTTTGTTCCTTTATCAACAAGAACGGATGACAAAGTTAATCTAAGATAAGTTATTACAAAGTAGGAAGGAAAGACAGTGTGGTATGTTCTTCTGGCACCTGGGGTATTATTTTTCACTCTGCTTCATGGTTTGGGATATAAAATTGCATTTTTGGTTTATAAAGTGTAGAGTTGTTGTTTTTCTCTTAAGCAATTTCTTAAGCTGGAAGCTTTGATATTTGTAAGCAATTTTTAGTCATCCCAACATGTGAAATGCTCTCTTTAGAAACCATCCAGGCTGGGTTGGTGCCCATGGCTCAGTGATTACGGTGCCAGCCACATACACCAAGGCTGGCGGGTTTAACCTGGCCCC